TGTACTGATAACTCGGCCTGTTGATAAACAGGTCAAACGGATCAATGTCAATAGAGTTGGTCGGCTTCCATTGGCTCCATTCAGAAATTATTCTCAATGGAGCAATGGAGCAATGTTAATGGAGTTGTTCTCCATTCATCCCAATGGATAAATGTGCCAACCCTGACTGTATGTTATGTAGTATAAATTCAAACTTAAAAAACTATTTTTAAAATTTATTGGTATATTTCTGAGCAATACTGTTACGTTTCACAATCATTCGTTAAAGATTAAACTTGCGCAAGATAAATCTTTTCAATTCGGTTGTGGCAAATTTAGGTTGATTTAATTTAAATGACTAAGGGTGTTCTCAAGCATCAACCTAGATGCGATTTCATAGATAAATACTATTTACCGACAAAATTAATAGAAAGCAACTTATATTGTGCAAAGACCTGATTCAAATTATTTAGTCAAAATAACGCGATACCTAATTATTGTTATTCGAAGACCAGACCCGAACTTATAAGTTAAGGTTTGTATTGAGTGAAGAATCAAATTATTTGTATAATAAAAAAAGTAATATGATGCTTGACCGAATTATAGTTAATTCGAATTAATAATTTATCTCATAGAGTCTGGCGAACTCATACAGGGCCATGAAAATCCTTTTAAAATTTAAAGATTTTTTAAAACTTTAAACCAATATTTCTCGATGAATACTTAACTAATTTCAGTGGTTTTTTTACTTATTTTAATTCTATAAGTTAATTATCGAATTTATTTAGATAGTCGTTGAGAAATCTTCGCTTAAAGTTTAAAAAAAAGTTTACTATTTTAATTTTATGTGTTTGTAAAAACGAAATAAAAAATTTATCAAATTTGATTATGTAGTTACTGAGAAATATTTATGTAATGTTTAAAAAATATACATATCCAGAAGATATTAAAACTTCAGCAGCTGAGTGGCTATACCCAATATACAATATTTTATTTAACGAAATAAATCATTGCCAAAAGTAACAACTGATACATATAAAATGTGAATATATGCTATTACATGATTGTGAATAAATATTTTCTAGCTACCGGGGTCCCAATTCAGGTGAACTTTATTTGACATTACTATTATTGCTTCAAAGTGACGAAAATATAAAAAATATAAGATTATACATTTGTTGAGTGAGTGAAAGCTCCTTTCAACCTTTAGCTAAATCCTTTCAACGAAATTCTGGACTCTCTCTCACAAAAACTTCAGTTGCGCGAGACTGGAAGGTGACTGTTCTGCTTTCCGGGTTATATGAGAAAACATTGGCCTGTAGCAGTTCATCAGCTATTTTTTTGTTGTTGACGAGCTTGATGAATGTATCAAAATCGATTTTTTCATTTTTTACCAACTTTTGGACAATGACTTTGCCAATGACATGATTTTTTTCGCCCTCCATCATCTCAGCCTGGTGAAAGTTGTGATTAACAGCATGGATCACAGTTTTATGAACCTCTGAAAGCAAAATATTAAGTATGATGAGAACGTTTACACAATATTCTTGCAAAATACCATCATCATTGTCCAGATAGTAAATGCTCTCACTTTCGAATGTCTTGCCTCTATTTATTCTATTACCATATTCCTTAAGATCACGAATCCGGCCACCTAAGAGTTGGATAAGTTGATTGGTGACCTCTTTCTCAATGCCAAGTTTGTTGTGGAGGTAGGTGAATGCCTCTTTGCTAGTTAGGTCTTCGATGACAATGGGGTCTTTTTCAGCGCGTGACCATGATGATCGTTCTAGAGTAGAGCAAAAAAACTATCAGCAAGGAATGAGATACAGACAAATTATATCATACAATACTCACGCATCATCATATGTGGCGCTGTTCCCTCGCTACTAATAAATACAATGATGCAACTGCTCTGGTCAGCATAAAGCTTTGCGATGTCCTGCAAATTCTTCAACATGTTCGCATTTTCCTGGCCCAGCTTATTTATGTTGTCGAGGATCAACACTGGAGGTTTGCTTGTATTTTCTAGCTCCTCTCTCGAAGGCATCCAGGACACAAAAAAACCTGGGCTGTTCAGCTATAAAACAAGGTGAGTGTAGAGCAAACACTGGTACTAATTCTTTATAATAACCTTACCGGACTCACTATTGCCTAGAATCTTCCGCTTAAATGTTTCAATGAAGAACACATACTCCATGAATGAATATCCAATAGCATTTGCAAGATTACTAATGAAGCGATTCAATACAGGGGGGACATCAACATAAATGACCTCTTTTCCAACATCTCTAGCACACTGCCGGATCACTGTGGTCTTACCAGTTCCGTGGTTCCCAACAACGACGTGGTAAGAGCTATGGTCAGAGATCGGCTCTAGAATTCGTCTCAGTTCCTTGATAACAACCTCACAGTAAATCAGCTGTTTCTGTTTAACATCAGGTTCTGAACAGGAACCATGTTCAAAGGCATTAAGAATAATTCTCTCATTCCAGTGGTTGTGCCAGTTGGTGAAGCTAAGATTGAATAATGCGGTGATAACAATCCCAGTGCCAAACCACTTTATAATATTCCAAGCGGACTAACGTTGCCAGGAGTAGGAGCACTTTGGGAGTTCTGGCACAATTTCTATTAGACTTACCCATCTTGCATATAATTTTGCTTTTGCGTCGTCAAATCAATGATTTCTATCTAGAACCCATTTATTTACCCAAA